TTAGGTAAGGCGTGTCTGATAGCTTCCCATGTTAAAATACTCCAAACATCATCAAACACTAGCACATACCTGTGAATATATAGGCACCAACCCCAAACTATGATTCTATATACTTCAAAGATTACTAGTTAAATTTAAAATTTCCAACCATAAATTTATTAGCAAAACCTGTAAAATGATTTCTAGTATCGAATATTAAGACTTGGGGTTCCATATTAAAATGTCAACTTCGTTAAGAAGAGTAACCACAATATTTTATAAGTTGGTCTATGTTTTCATCTTTACTCAATGTGGAAATTTATTTCTTAACATACCCAACAAGATGGTAGCTCGTTTGAGTTTTAGTTGGATCGAATTGCTTGTTGGAGCAAAATGGACTTTAATACCATATTAAAATTTGGGGTTCAATATTAAAAGGTTAACTTTGTTAAGAGAAGTAGCCCGAATCTCTTCTAAATTAGCCTATATTTTTATATTTATTCAATGTGGAAATTTGTTCCTTAACATCGAAATCACCTCGACTGGTTCGAAACAATTAAGCAGAGAATTAGCACACAGTTCAACAGTACCTTCTTCCGCGCAAGAAATCTTTGATTATTGCTTTTAGCCTATTACCATCCATGGTGCTCAAATTTTGAGGAGGAGCTCGCTTCATCTGTTCAAACAATTGCTGAATTGTGTCTTTCAGGAGCTCATCCACCTCGAACGACTGAGAAACTCTAATCCATGCGTGGTTCTGGAAGTGTTTCTTCACAACAAAATCATCATACACCTTCTTAACCAGAGTGGTTTTCCCCAAACCTCCCATCCCCACCACTGAAACCACCTTAAGCCGTGATTCTCCCTCAACAAGCCACCGTATAATCTGCCTTCTCGGATTCTCAATCCCGACAAGCTCTGCTTCTTCTAATAAAAGTGCATCGCCTTGAGGATCAATCCCTCTAGTAGTCACGCATTGTGATGATAAAACTTCCCCAGGAGCATCAAACTTGTAACTATACCTGCTATGTCCCTCAGCAATATCTTTAATTCTGGATTTTATATTTTGAATTCCAAAAGCAATTTTATAACGGGTTCTCAGATTTCGTATGGAGAAAATTAATTTCCTCAGAAAACCCTCACTTTCGAGGCGGAATTGCAGCATGAAATCATCTATAATGTCTTCAGTATCATATGCAACATCTCGAACTTGCTTAACCCAGACTTTGAGCTCTGGATCATCATCTTCAGCAGCATCAGCGACTCCGATGAAAGCAATCATTCTCTCAAGTTCATCTCTGATATATTCAACTTCCTGCCTGACATTTTTGACCAGATTCACCTTTTCCTCCAATAAGACTGTGAGTTTCTCAAGAACAAATGTCACTGCAGACTCTGCCATCTTCACAAAAGTGACTGAGTTGTCCCGAATTCTATGAGAGAAAATGATAAATGTTAAATTGAACAGCTTTTGAACACTTGTTATTGGTTTTCTGCACGAGGCATCAAAGAACATAGAACCTATGGGATTCGGTTTGTTTAAATGAACTGAGATAAGGAATCAACTAATTGAGTATTTTCTATAAAAGACAAAAGATAGGCCACGTATTATGCGCTACAACCCTCTTCATGCGAATAACTTTAAATTAGGTTCGTTTTATAATTAAATAATCAAAGAAATTCGAATCGTTTAAGAGACGGAAGCACATTGTTAGGTGTTTTGATATCAAATAAACATCGTGAAGATGTCAATCTGGCCGGCTATTACTAATAAGTGTATTTTGTACACTTATCTCAATTATTGAACAAGGTTATTCGTTATTGATTTGGATGGTTTATAACTTAATTATGTATACATTTCATTTGTGATTTAGAACTCAATTGGTTGAATTGGATTATTGGACTATAGGAAAGAAAAAGGGGGCAAAAAAAAGGAAGAAGAAGAAATTCAAAGTACGAGGACTAAATTGGAAATATTTAATAGTTGATTCCAACCAAAAAAAAAAGGTGATTGAAGATGACATAAGATCAATTAGATACAATTAGAAGTCAGATGAGTGAAATATAGTGGAAGTATTCTCAAAAATTAATTTCTATTCAAAAAAAAAGTTATGCCTCCAGATATTAAGCCTCATATTGCTATCCATTTTTAATATAGTAAATGTTCGAATTGGAAAATTGATATTTAGAAAAATTGTAGCCATTTAATATATCTTTTCAAATCACTTTAAGTAACCCGAATCAAATAATGGGAGAGAATGTTATGATAAAATTACGGACAACTGTTCGAAAGAAAGGTGCACACGCTCCGACCACTACAATCAACTCATGAACTAAGCCTCAAGCCGATGCGACCATGACTTTGACAACGACACGGCACATGGTTCACCCAGGGATCTAATTGCGGTTATTGAATTTAATTCAAAGTCTTACAAGAATCCAATTTTGAGGCAATTTTTGACCTATTTTCGAGATATAAATCAGAACAATATCATACATCAAGGGGATCTCTCTCTACTTCTAATTACATGTTCATTTCATCAAGAACAAGCAATTGTTATATTTTGAAAGAGAAGATCAAATCTTAGCAAAAATTGAAGTTCAAGAATTGAAGAATACAACCTTGAAAATGAAGATCAAGATTTCTTATATTCATTCATGATCCAGATAATATTTATTCATACTTCTTTTTGTAATTTGTATGAAATCATGCCAGGCTAGATTGATAATTGTATTGAATGAAGATAAACTCTATTATTTATTTATTTCAAGACTAGTAGTCTAGTATTTTATACGTCTATTGATTAATTTTACATTCTTATTGCATTATTTAATTATTTGGTTATCAATTTGATAATTAGTTGCTTGTCGTAGTATTGGAAAACTCACAGAAAGTTTAAATTTGGCAAGATTAACACACAAGCAATAGAAATTAAGGAATAACACTAGTGTGAGCGGAAACATGTAGATAAGCTGAAATTTAATACTTTCTCATAATTCGAATTCGTACTAGGATAGACTTGAGTCGTGGTTGGAATAGACTTACTTTATCTTGGAAAAAAGTTAAATATTATAGCTTTATAGATTGTCAAGAACGCATAAATAAGATTAATTTATAATGTTAATCACAATAGACAGGTTTGAAATCACATACAATCATCTATAATTTGATACAAAAATGCTTTTACATATTTCATAGCATAATTTAGAAAAATAAAAAATCAAATCTCTTTCCTGTAACATAATTCGAATTCCATATAAATTAGTAAATTGAATTGAGATTTATTTCCTGTGTGATGATAACTCTTTTCGTCACATTTATTACTTGTCAATGATCTTGTAAACTTGCAAGATTTTTACGAACAAATTTTTGAATCGTTGTCAGTGGTTAAAGTTTTTTATTTTACTTTATTAGTTTATATAAGATTCGAATTTTCTTTTATTTTTTCGGCTATTAATTACATATACAATCCCTCTTGTTTGGTTTTTGGCAATGTATACAAGATTTTGAAGAAATCAAGCTCCTACCATTGGATCTTGAGATCGAAAGATTTTGATAATGAATAAGAAAATTGAGAGAAGCAAGAAAAATGGCAAAAAAAAATCAAAATTAAATTCGGTCAGTACCAGATCCACCAAATAGCCAGTTCTGCCAAGAGTAGTTACTAACAATGAAAATCAAAACTAAATTTAGTTAGCACCAAATTCATGAAGGAAATAGAATAACCCTTACTCCAACCGAATAATCTTGATTGGAGGAATCATTTGAACTTCTCATAGTTAAAAAAAAATAACAAAACTGTAGAAGAGCAATAATGTATAAGATGAATGGAAGGGCCAACTTAGATCTTCTGTGTATTACAATTGCTTTAAATAACAAAGTTCATTATACAAAATATGGAATGCACTAAAGTTCTGGAATGAATTGTCATGATTGATAGAATTAAGAGGAAATCAATGGAATGCTGAGATCGTGTTAGATGTAATTGTGGAGTCATTACTGATATGGAAGAACCAGTATTTCATGGAGGAGATTGAGGATTGTGATTGCTCGGTCTAACACCCCTCCGCAAAGTGATGGGGATGATCATTACCATCAATTGGATTGAAGTACACCAAAACGGGCGGTTGTTTGCCCCTTTGTGAAGATATCAGCAATCTAATCTTGGGTGGAAATATGTTGCATTTGAATGTCTTTATTGAGGACCTTTTCTCGAATGAAGTGATAGTCAATTTTTCTCGTGTTTTGTACGAGCATGGAAAACAGGATTAGAAGCCAAGGCAATAGCTCCAATGTTATCACACCGTAGTGTAGGAGTGTATGGTAGGAAGACACCAATTTCCTTGAAGAGCATTCTTATCCAATAGAGTTCAACTGTGGCGATGGTTCTGCTTCAATATTCGGCTTCAGAGCTACTCTTGGAGACAATTGGTTGTTTCTTGGCAGGCCATGATATCAAATTTTTTCCCAAAAAAATTGCATATCCAGTGGTACTGCGACGATCATCAGGGTACCGACCCAATCCGAGTCACTGAAAGCTTGAAGAGTAATAGATCCTGGAGTAAACAATAGACCGATATCAATACTACCCTTTAGATACTGAAGCACTCTTTTGATAGCCCTCCAATGAGGTTTACGTGGAGAATGCATAAATTGGCACAATTGATTTACTGTATATGCAATATCTAGTCTAGAGAAAGTACAATATTGAAGTGCCCCGACCACTCTTCTATACTCTATTTGACCAGCTAGTAAAGGACTTTTGTAGAAAATAACTTTGGACCAGATGTAGTGGGGCACCCAAGTGGCTTTGCACCAGCCATCTTGGTGCTGTGTAGTAAATCTTTGATGTACTGGGTTTGACGAAGGTGCATGCCTTGAGAATCTCTTGATGCTTGAACACTTAAAAAGAAACTCAGATTTCTAAGATCTTTAACCATAAAGTTAGTTGATAGATATTGGATAAAAGAATCAATTGCATGTGCGCTTGACCCAGTAACTATAATGTTATCAACGTATATCAACACAAATAATTTCACAGTCTAAGTAGTATAGACAAACAGTGAATAGTCGGTGGCTGATTCAAGAAAACCATACTCAAGTAGGTGTTGGGATAGTCATCTAGACCAAGCTCTCGGAGCTTGTTTAAGACCATAAAGTGACTTATGAAGTTTGCAAACATAATCAGGATTAGTCTCATCTACAAAACCTCGTGGTTGTTCAATAAATACTTCTTCATCAAGATAGCAATGTAGAAAAGCATTTGAAATGTCTAATTGCTGAACATGCCAATTAAATGAAACGACCAAAGCTAATATAATGTGAATAGAAGTAGGTTTTACCACAAGAGAAAATGTATTTGTGTAGTCAACACCACACTGTTGATCAAAGCCTTTTGCGACTAAACGAGCTTTAAATCGTTCAATACTTCCATAAGACAATCTCTTGATTTTATGAACCCATTTGTTGCAAACGACATGCTTACCAAGTGGGCGGGGACAAAGTGACCAAGTTCGATTCACCATTAGTGCATTAAATTTCCGTCCCATTGTTTCACGCCACGCTGGAGAGGCAACTGCTTGTGTGTAATTGGATGGTTCAATCTCAGTGATAACAGAGGAAAGTACCTACAAGGGATACTTGGTAGTATAAAACATTGTAAAATCAGGGAAGGCCTTAGGTTTTGAGTTATTCGTCATTGAGCGGATTGTTGCCCTGTTAGGGTGTGGGACAGGGATGGGAGGTTCATGTGAGGTAATGGAAATTTGTTCTGTGGACTGGGTTTCAAGTGGATCAGGATGTGGAGTTTCAAGATCTTGGGGTTCGACTTGTGGTGAGGAAATGGGAGTTAGGGAAAGAGTTTGTGACTAGGTGAGGGTCTTATGGATATGTGATGCTATTGGATCGGTGGCAGAGGTTGGTGAAATAGGTATATCTAAAAGAGGAAAAGGAGAAAACGTACTAGGCGAGCTCGAGCTCGATGGCGCAGGAAAAGTTTGGACTTGACCCTTTGCAGGAAAATGTTGTTCTTAAAAAATTACATTTCGTGACACATAGACACGCCCTGTAGCTAGGTTAAGACAACGATAACCCATTTGTTGATTGGCATATCCTATGAAAACGCATACTTTGCTTCTAAAGGATAATTTATGAGGCTCATATGGTCTTACTAAAGGGAAGCATGCTAATCCAAATATACGAAGGTGAGAGTAACGGGGGTATGGTTTTATGGAGCATGTAAAAATGTATTAAATTATTTAAAACTTTTGTTGTTAGCCTGTTTATTAAATATATTGATGTTAGGAATGCATTTGGCCAATATGTATCGAGAAGGTGGGACCGAGCTAATAGGGTGAGACCTGTTTCAACAATGTGGAGATGTTTTCTTTTGGCTATACCAT